TCAAAAAATTTGTCTACTTTTGTCCCAATCTCTGCAGGAAAGTGCAGACTATAAACAGGAATATTTTGTGAATTTGTGTTGAAAAGCGGGAACTGGTGGTGAAAAGGTTAAACTCGGCCAACTAATTGACCCACAGATGACCAAAGTGGCAAATATTTTTATGTCAAATACTAGGAATTGAATGAGTGGCTTACCTCTTTCAGTGAGTGTAATAATAGATATTGTCTCTTTGGCTGTGTTTCTATTTCATTCAACACAAAGGGTAAATACAGAGACAAATTTCCAACACTAACATTACCTGAATAAAAGAAACATTATAAATACATTATTATTGAAGAAGTCGTGAAGTTTTGTCATGATCAAATATATTTTTGTAAAAATTCAGATTTCTGTTATAAGAGAAGTTGCATAAGATAGCTCTCAAATTAATCATGTCAAGGGTCCTGCATGGCAATCATGCACTTACAACACTAGCTACATGGGGAATTTGATGTATTCATAGAGCTAGATGTAATACTGGTAGCTAACTTTCATCTAGTAATTTAAATTTTGCCTCTGTGGTCAGTAGGCGACTGATGTTGCTTGCTGATAAATATAGTATGCTCCTAATCCGAAAAATGAAGAACGGTTGTATGTTCTCGTGTTGTATGTACAAAATTAACTAATAGCTTTGTAACGTTGGAATAAATTTAAATGTTTAATGAGCAAAATTAAGGCAACATTTCCAGAAGATGGATAGGATCCATGAAATAAGAGAATTGTTTACCTCAAGGCTGACAACCACCGAGAAGACCGACTATGAGCTGAAATCATGGATCGGCAAGTCCACAGCAGGATGAAGACACACACACATACTTTGTGAGAGATGGGTACTGAAAAATGATGAGGACACATCAAGGTGACATACATACCTAATGCATATGACGCGGCTGATTTTACCTCTTCATTTGGTGATGAGAAAGCGTTGATTATAACAGACTGTAAATCAGCTTGGCTACTGAGATCACTGTAAACAAATATAAACAATATTAAGACAATGCCACTATGAATTGGATTGTTGTATCAACTTACTTGTATTCAATTGTGACAGAAACAACCATAAGTGGCAGCAAAAAAATTGCCTTTGAGGTATTTTTTTTGAAGTCATAAATCACATGACAATGTTCAGGGTTCTGCAAACCTGATTTGAGTGCTGGTCGCTAATTAATATTCACGGGTTCATTAATATTCATGAGCTAATTAATATTCATTTTTCCATTCTTCTAGCTACGATTTAACTACTTTAATTATTTTAACTTTTATTTTAAATATTTCAATATTAAATTAATCTGCTTTGATGAAAGTGAAAAGTGAAAAAAATATATACACTTTATTTTCGCAATCACGTCTAAAATACATATTTTGAGACATTGACCTCTGGCCTGGCAGCCATTTTAGTTGTCAAAGCATGTCGTTCGTTTGTTACAGCCAAAGTGGAAACAAGAATTTAATTGTTTTCTTTTCCAATGGAACGCTGGTATATCACATTAATAGTGAGAAATAAGTATTCCTTGTATCGCTGACTGAATATAGCTTATGAATTTAATTTTATGAACGAGTTACGAAGCCAAAAACATCAATGGAGTTTACTACACTTGAGTGCAAGTGCAGATTAAACGAATGACAGCTTGACGCATCGCTGCCGGTGAAGTGAGCAAGCTATTGTTCAACTCAACAAATCCTGCACACAACTAAACTTGCAATGGTAATCCTTCCTTCTGTTTATTTATCGTTGTCTTCCCTTCCATTATCCTGATGTACGACTTATTCCGATCTGGTTCGTTTGTTAAAACAGAATGTCAATCAGAGGTTAAAACAAAAACACATTAGGCAGATGTCACATGTGCCCGTTGATTTTGAACAGC